CAGGGGGGGCCGGGGCCCGGAGGGGGGGGCAGCAGGCTGGGCCCTAGGGTTGCCAGACGTTCGGTATTTTCGCCTCCTGGCCGGGAAAAAAAATCAGAAAATACCGGACATTTCAGGCATCCGGTATTTTCTGGATTTTTTTACCTGGCAGGAGGTGAAAACACCGAACAGTACAGGTTAATACCAATCCTAGACCCTGAAAGCCCGGGTAATCCCAACTCTGAGACAGTCTGCCTGATATACTACCCCAGACTGAGGCACGTGAGCCGGCAGCAATCTAGGCAGGGTCCTATCAGAATTTTGCCTAGGTACTGCTTGAACTTCATCAAAATTCAGTTACTTTCATAAAATGCTTCCCTTTAGATGAGTCAGCAAATTCAAGTGACAAAAAGTTTCCTTTGAATTTTTCTGATCACTTCTAGTCATTACTGCAAACACCACCTTTCCATACACACACAGTTATGGGAAAAAAGCAAATTTCAAGTATAAGTAAAAATGACAGTTATGGCACCAAGATTTTAACTATATTTATCTTGAAGTAACTTTGTTTAAACAATTCCTATGGCAGGAGTGGGCAAGATCCACATTCAGCCCCACCAAACCACTAGATCTGGCTTGCAGGCCGCCCTGCAAGGACCGTCAGGCACAGCGCAGCCAGCCGCTTCAGAGCAACCCCACAATGGTTTAAGTGGTTGGTTGTTCCCTGTGACTCTCTGTTCTGGGCTCCAGGGAGACCTTGAGTGCTGCCCCCGATCCCCAAGCAAAATCTCTCAGCTCCATTAGTTTCAGGGAAACTGGAGCTGAGAGATTTTTCAGGGAGGTGGGCGAATCATTGTGTGAAGCCTCCCCCTTCCCTCAGAACCCAGAAGAAAGAGCCACAGGAAGCAACCAGCCACTTTGAGCAGCCTGAAACTGCGGCAGGCAGTAGGACTGCAGCAGGCAGTGAGCCTGCCTTGGGTTCCTACAGGGCTGCTGGCTGGGAGCTGCCTAGATAAGCGCCTCTCGGACACAGCCTGCCTCTGGCACCCCAGCTCCTCCTTCCCCCTAAATCCCTGTCCTACGCCACCACCTCCTCTTGCCCCAGGTCATCACCCAAATCCCTCTACACTTCCCTCCTCCAAGTCCCAGCTCCAAGACCCTGCACCTCCTCCTATACCCCTCCCCTAGAATCCTCTCTTGTACCCATAGCCCATCCCGGACCATGCATTCAAAGCCCCTGCCCCAGATCACAACCCCCTCCTTCACCCAAACTCCTTCTCAGACCCCACACCTTCTCCTGCATCCTAGTCCCCAACCCCAAGCTCCCTTCTGCACCTGTGCACCCAACTCCATCCCAGACCCTAAACTCTTCCATATAATAGTGCAGCCCTTTGACCACTTGCCAAAATCTTGGAGTAGCCCCCATCACAAATTATTGCCCACTCGTTCTATGATTTACCAAACTATAAAATTTGTGGGTGTCTGAAATAGCCTTCCAAAACCTAACACATCAACCTGCAAACAGCTTCCAAAAATTCATACTGTGTAGTGCCATGAGCTATATTAACGCTACACAGACCTACAGAAGAGGTCAACTACTGCAGCAGAATTTCCTGGTATTACTGTTTTATAGACAGAAAATTGTGAGAGCTCAAAGAATAGACAGTTTTCATTTGGAAGACAAAAAAACAAAAATACGTGGGATAAAAAAAGTTTACATTTCTTGTCCAATATCAGAGTATATTAAAAATTATCTGGGCCAAAAGTTAATACAAAGCTGCACGCTGTTTAGCAACTCAGATTTTTGCTTTTGTGATCAATCCTGTTCGTTGCTTAAAACCCTGCTCTGCATATTCAATCTAAGAAGTGTTTGATAACAATTTCAAAAAACTTCATGTTTGTGACTGACTGGTCAGTGTTCTGTGGCCTTGTTGATTAAGTGTTAGATATTATATTGTTTGCATGGTATCCAAATCTACTAGTGAGGTTGAAGGATTGCTGCTCCTGAGTCTCAAATTCCTAATTCATGGGATGATTCTAGTAAACAAAGTTTTAGAAGAGATGTAAAATGATAATTAAGCAGTAAAAAGCATATTAAAGGGCTACAATCCTGTCTTTAGGTCTTCCTAAATGTCCAGGAAAAAGAGGATCTTTTACAATTATCAAGTTAAAACAGGGCAATTAGAAGTAATATAGATCCTGATTAATGTTTACAGGTGACACACAGATGTAGTAACACATTTTCCACTTTAACATTCATGAAAACATGAACAAAGTAGAATGATAATATCAAAGTTCCATGTTTAGACTGGATTATGGTATACTTTTTTCAGGGCTACATAAAAACAGCTAAAAAGAATTCAGGAAATTTCAGCATTGCTAAGTCACTATTTTATTCAGATTCTCATGATTCTGGTTTTTCTTCCTTAAAGAACCAGTGAGAATCTCAGTTGTTATTTTTAAATAAGTGTATTTCTAGCCTCTATGGTTGTGGAGAAAAGCTTTAAAATGTGACCCAAGTGCATCCTTAAAGGCTCAGGCACCAGAAAAATAAATAAAAAAAAAATTAAGTTCGTTGCCTTAAAGGCTCAGGCACCAGAAAAATAAATACAACGAACTTAATTTTTTTTTTAAGTTGCATGATTTTTTAAGTGAATTTCATTTTATTAGGGGACCTTGCTCATTGTTTCTGAATGCTTAAGGTTTATACTTCTGGAATTCACTCTACATCACACCCCAGGCTTTTGATTTTTTCCAAGTACTTACTGATAAAGAAAAGCACAACAACAATATACAAAAAAGCAGCTTTCTGTTTTGATAGAGGGAACATCAATAGACAGGATTCCCTCTTTAAATCCCTCAGTACTTAGAATAACTGGATCACTAAGAGCCACCACAAAATACACTGATAGGTGTTGCTTAAGAAACCTAAGCCACCAACACACACAACAGGCTGCTTTGCTTCAGACATTTCCTTGAGCTCTGCCTCAGGAAGTTCTGTTCAGCACAAGAAAGCTTTGTACACAGTTCAGTTTCACAGTCCACAAGCATAGAGGCCGCTTTAAATGAACATGTTATTAGTATTACTACTCTATGTGAAGAAACTGGGACAGACATATTAAAGGTGCAACTATCAATATTACAGAGAAGAACAAAGGCAGGAAGAACTGGGCCCACCAGTATCTACCCTTCCAAAAACTAACATATCACTCCAGAAAGCGATTGTGTGGAATATACACAGCTGAGTCTAATGGGTAATCCTGACTCAAAGCTTCTCAGAAAAGTAACAAACCAACTTCCTGCCAGCACACGACAGGGGACAATTCTTAACTAGGGGAAGAGTTAAATTCGAACAGATAATCACAGTTAGGCATCCTATTCCGTCTATACATATCCAAAGATCATACAACTGTCACCAAAGAATTTTTTCCCCTTCTTCCATCCCAGGAATATATTCAACTAGAGGTTAAAACTTGTTCCTCTTGAAATCAACGAGATATTCTCATTGACTTGGATGAACCAGGGATCTGATTTCTACAAATCTCTGACAGAGGAATAATACTGCTGCAAGATGGAAACCAGGCCACCAGTTTATGACATCTGCAGCACTCCCTGTGCTATACGTGGCTTCAGTGTTGAAAGTCAGCTCATGCCACTTATACCAGCAAACAAGTGACCAAAAACCTATCCAAGAAAGTGAGCCTAAATGTGCGTGAACATACAGCTCTCCAGGTGGCTCAGTGGAGTGAGGGAAGAAATATAAACACTCCCTACCCGCAGTTCAGCCGGCAGGGCGCAGTCTGCTAGTAGAGCCAGATCCTCCTGCAGCCGGCAGTTACCTGGGGGCTCAATCGTCAGCACTTTCACACAGGTCCCTGGTTTGGAAGAGACTGGAAAAGGCAAAACAAAAACAACAAAACAAAAAATATAGCTGCCTAGAAAAAAATTAAATCTAAAAACTTTCCCTCTTATTAAAAAAAGATCACTGGGGAATGTTTGTTTTGTCTGTCTCCGAGTTTCCACTGAAATATAAAAACATGTCTTTTAGACAGGGAGAGAGACACATGTGCGCACCTGCTAGCAATGATCAGGGCTGTAACTACCACTGGGAGGAAAAAGAGGACACAGATTCCACCATTTCCCTTCTTACATCTCCACTTGCCCCTTGCTTCTTACATCTCCACTTGCCCCTTGCTTCCACCTTTTTTGAATCAGGGGCTGCTGACCCACAGAAAAATCAGTTGGAGACTGCACACAAGCAAGAAGCAAAACAAAAACAAACAAACCCTCACTGACGTGGCCCCCAACTGAGACAAAGAAGGACATTTCCTACATTCCCCTTATACACTGGAGCCTTGGGGCCCCAGGCTGGTAGATTTTGTGTGCTCCAGGGCCCACAGGGAGATTTTAGGGGGCTGGATCACCAGCATGGGCTCCCCACTGCTGGGGGGAGCCCTGAGCTTCAGGAGCCAGATCCAGGCAAACTGGGGGCTGCATCCAGCCCTCGGGCCTTAGATTCCCAACCCCTGAATTACAGAGACCATGGTGAGGAAAGAGGGCAACCATGTGCCTGTTCTGTCCTCCTCTCTGCAACCCATCACTACAGACACACGATTGAGAACTGCCTTAGGGAAGCTGCTTCCCTGCCACTGGAGTCAGCCTTAGGTGACACTGTAATAACATACGATACATCCCTGCTGGGCAAGGGGGGGTGAAGCCTACTGAACAACAGACACACTCCCACACGTAGTCCCGGCCACTGGTGAATCCGCTACTTACTAATTTAGAGTGAAGTCTGGCTTATGCTTTTCCTCTGTTACTGCACCACTCTCCTGGCTCAGGTGCCAGCAGCGCTGCGGTGATTTAATGCCACAGGAAAGAGGATTTATATCTTAAGACTAGGTTTTCTGGGGCAGACACTGTCCTTTTCTATGCACAATGGGATCCCACATTGACTGGGGTCTCTAAGTGCTACCACATAGTAAGTCTTAAATAGGAATGTCAAAGTGTAACCATGTACACGGTTCACTGATGAGCCTGGGCTCATTGGTTCATGTTCATGTTTGCACACAAGCTCCCAGGACACACAGGGAGTCATCTTAAATGCCAGCTCCCCACATACACCAGCTGCTGGAGAGCTAACTGCCACCCTGCATGTAACCACTGACATTTTCAGCAGTTACATGATTACTTAATTACATGAGGCCTGGAAAGTTCCTTCTCAGTTAACCTTCTGGCTAGGAACCTCCTAGTTTCTGGTCTGGTCAGGATAGCTAGTCAGGCTAACACAAAGCAACACATTAAGTGCTCCCCATTTTAGGAAATATGGTATTCCCTTGATCCAAACCACACACAGGACTCCCAGACAACACTGTGTTGGGCATCTTATAGGCAAAGGCCTTAACAACTCAAGACTCAATTACAGGTGGTCTGAATTCCCTGCAGATGTTTAATTAAAAATCTCTCCTTTGCGCCTGGTCCAACTGCTTTGACCCTTTCGAAAGAGCTGCTTGCTGTACCTTTAAACGCCTTGTTCCACTGGAAAGAACAATGGACACATGTAGTGTTGTAGGTCTCTAGGAGAACAGGTAAAATTAAAGGTCTCAAGGTCTTTGCAACCTGTTTCAGGTACAGCTTTATAAGCACAGAGGGGAAGGAAAGGATTGAAAAAAGTTAGCAGCATTATCAAGGTGTGTACATGCATTACCTACTCCTGAGGGAATTCTGTACCACCATGGATGCACAGAATTCATGTTCCCCACAGATTTCTTTGCTTCCCCTCAGAAAAATGGCACTCTGACAGAGAAGCAAAAAGGAAAGATGCAAGAGCAGTCATGCACCAGTCCCTAGCAATTTCTACTCTAAGTCAAGATCAGCTGCTAGTCCCAGCTGGACTGGAGACAGAAGAGGACAGGACTTCCCCCCTCTCCCTGCAAGGAGTAGCTAGGGCTGTGTCTTACCCATTCCAGAAACCTCCCCTACCTGCATGAAGTTCAGCACCCTCCTCTGTTTCCTGCCCCCATCATTCCCCAGCTGCAGGAGAAGGCTCGCTGTATGGGAAGCTGTTCCCCCATCCATCCAACCCTCCTGTATCCAGACCTCCCATACCCAGACATCCTTGTCAAGCCTCACCTAGTACTTCTTGAACCTCCCTAGCCCTCCCATACCCAGACATCCCTGCCAAACCTCACCCAGTACTTCCAGAACCTCCGTAGCCCTCTCATACTTGAATCCCATCCCACTGAACCTCAGCCCCTGAATATGGACTCCCTCTCAGCACTCAAACCCCTTCCACTGAGCTCCCTGCACTCAAACCCCCACTCTCATGAGCCCACCCCCCTGATTTACATCACCCAGAACCCCATGCCACTTACCCCGTTAGCTGAACTCACTCCCACTCCAGTAGCACCAAACCCCTCTGCTAAGCCTCAACCATCTTCTCCTGGAAGCTCCTGCAGAGTCTCAGTGCTTCTGCATTTGGATCCCCCTCTTGACAAGCCCCCGTGCATTCAGATTCCCCCAACACACCCAGACCTCCTCATTGAGTTCCCTGCACCTAGAATGTCCCACCTAGAACCTTCTCATCCCACACCTTGATCCCAAACACTGTGCTGCTTCATACATGGATCCTGTCTGGTTGAGCATGGCGCAGAAAGGCAGGGGCCTAGCGTGTTTCTAGGGTAGGCCTGGACCTTGTGCTGAGTCAGGGATGGGTGCAGTCTCACTATTGAGTCTGTGGCCTGAGATGGAGGTTGCAGGATGATCTTCCACCTTCACCGCCATGTTGGAGCCTCTGTATTTATTTATTGATAAATAAAAGCTGCTGAATTTTAAAACACTGATTGCAGAATTATTAATTTTTTGGCACAGAATGCCCTCAGGAGTAATTACTATGTAATCTTATTATTGTCAGCTTTGTCTTTCTTTTCCTGTTCCTTTATGAATCTCATTTGCTGTCTTGAGTTCAATTTAAACTGGACTTTACCCGATTTTGTGAGCCTTTTAGCAGGGAAAGATTGTAAAATAAAGAACAGCCAGGAACATGAAAGTTGCTGCAATGAAATCTTATGGATTCCAATGGCAGCATAGTGAAAAAGAAGTTAACAACCAGTGATTAAAGAGTTAAACTGCATTGTACTGGGTGTTACAAAAGATTTTTGACAGGAATGATTCACTATATTAAAACCCCTCTCTTCTCAGGTGAATCACATCACCATGAGACCTCATTTTTCTTGACATTTTGCTCATCATTATATGGGCTTCATCAGATGACTCTATCAGGTGGTGGGCGAAATGAGACTGAGATGTGCCACAATATGAATCCACCACCCCCACCCTAAAGAAAGCTTTCCATCCATCAAGATGGCCACCATGACACCTGAAGTGGCTGAATATTCCAAATGGTTACTGGAAACTGTAGGACACATAAAAACCCAATCCACCCATTAAAGACATTATTGGCACTATAACCTATATAGAGAGAGGTGCACTAGAGAATGAGCTACGTAATTTCTATTTATACGACTGAATACTGATTCCCTTGTCTTCAGTAAACAACCATGCTTATTAGAGGGGCAGGACAGGTTTGGCATAGACCCAAGTCAAATTGACAAAACTGTCAGAACAGAATCTCCAGAATTACAGATCTACATAAGCAACTGAAAAAACCTGTCCTTGTCTCTTTAAGGCATGTCTTCACTGCAGAGTTAGTTCTGGCTCTTATTCAGGTGTTTCCTCTAATACCCCTGCTGTCCACACACAAAACCCTCTCACCCAAGTTTAGTGGTGCTTTCAGACTTGGCTTTCTGGCTTGACCGGGGCTGTAGGCAAAAACCAGAGAGGAACTTCCACAGAGGGTGGTAACCCACCCACTTTGTAAGGACAATGCAGACTAAAATCATTAGAGTGCCAACAGTCCTCCAATATCTTCCCCCCACAATTCTCTCCCCGCCCTACCAGATGTGCCTAGGCAGACAGTTCCACTATTCACTGGCAAAGAATCAGAGCGGCTCCTCTTCTTACCATATAGAGCCATGAAATATGCCCCCAGAAATTCTAATACTACACCAGTGAGGACACAGTACCTCTGGAACAGACTGTGTGGCTGTTATACCCAGCCTAGGCCAACTCAGATTCTTAGACATGAGCACCAATGAGCCCCATTAATACTGCTGTGAAGACATACAATCAGACTAGATTAGTACCCATCTGTGGGAGACAGGATTACTGTGACTGCATGGCAATAACCATTACTTCTAAGAGTGCCTTTCATCAGAGGCTCTCAAAGCACTTCCCACCCATTAACCCTTGAGTAACACAGTGGTCTTGTCCAGACTAGGACACAAGGTTTGTTAGAGCATGTTCATGCTTTTTTACCCTATTGTAGATAAGGCTAGAAAGAACTCTGTGCTAGTTAAAAGCAGAAGTTGTGTATATAATAGTGTTAAACCTATATTTTGTGTGAGTCAACCTACCTATCCCATCCAAGAGACATTTGGGACGATCAAGAGAGATTAAAAGGTTCAAAAAGAGAAACTATCTGAAGCTCCCTTTTAAATGAAGAACTCAGATACCATGGCAAAGGGCACACTATAAAAAGAAGAAGACAGAGGAGACCAAGAAATCCTTCCCTTACACACAAGGTTCATGCCACATCATATGTGCCTATTTAGAGGGATCAGCCAAGAAACATGGCAGACTCAAAGGAAAGTTTCCATACCTTAGGTTCTTCAAAACATCTACACACTTTCATAGGAACCTGAAAAAAATCTCTCACGATGCTCACACCACAAAGAGTGGGATTTGGAAGATAGCACAATGTGTACAGATCAATCCTGACAATGCATATTTCATTTTTTTCTTTCCAAAAGGATGAAAAAGACAAGATAGGAGAGACAACAAAAAATATTGTTGGCAGCAGGCAAGCAGGAGGGTCCAGCATCTGATGTTGTGAAATGCAAGAAATGCAGGGAATTCAGAAAAGAGCAACACAAATAATAAGAGGAGCTGGAGCAACTTATCTAGAAAGGAAGCTTAAATTAAGCAAATCCACGTGCAGTTCAGCTAAAGAAAAATAGGAAAGCATGCTAACCTCCTGTATATACTTGGCAGGTACAAGCACCCAGGAGGCACAATAAACATATAAGGCAAGCTAAGGAAGCGTAATAGTTATGAAATGAAGCAAACAAATGTAGATTGGTGGATTTGGGAGGATTTCCTAAGAGTAGTAGAATCGTCTCAAGAGAAGACACTCGAATATTTAAAAAAGGTAAGGCAAAGCACTGACAAGTACATCACAGGGAATATTCCTGCAGTGCCAGGAGGGAATAGACTGTTTAGTCATTAAACCCCCTTCTGGCACAGTCCATCACTATCTGCTTCATAATCTGTATTTGCTCTTCACTTGCTTCATAATTCTTTGTAGTCCTTACTAATACACCATTGGTGTAGCTTGGTTGAAGAAATCTTTCCTAGATCATGCAATACATGGACATCTGCACTCCACATGCACTTTTATAGTGCTGTATGTAGCCACTGTCACTGGCACATTGGATCAAGGACTTGAAGACGGAAAACAGGTGTTCAGAAACCCTGATCTGAATTCTTGTGCTTTGCAACATACAGAAAGTGTTCCTGAACTGTTTTTTTTAAAATGCCTCCAGCTCCATAACAAGGATTATGTCTTAATTTGGACAAACCTTGTCTTAATTCTTCCCAATAGAGTAACAGGTATTTACATCCAGAGCATACAGAAAGGGGAAATATGGAAGTAATTACACTCAGCATGGCAGATGGTAGAGACAATGGAAACAGTTCCTGCGGAGGCGTGTATGGGGGGTTTTAATATTCCTTCCACAAAAGCAAGATACAAGGTGCTTTAGAAATACGGATTAGACTTAGATAATGAGACTAAAGAGAAGTGTCTGCCATGCAATTACCCCCTGGAACTGACCTTGGCTACAGTGTGCATTATTACTTACATTAAACATTTTGGATCTATATTTTGGATCTATTTTTGAACCAGAGATAGTGACACTGGACCCTGACCAATGCAATTAGACAAGATACCCAAGCCTGAATCAGTTGCCTATTTCATAGAAATCTGAGCAGGAATTTCTAATATGCAATAGGGAACAATAATCTTTGGCAAGTAAAGGACATCATATGACCAAACATGTCTTTCCCATCCCTTAATTTCTATACTTTCATGTTAATTCTCTCCTGGAGATTCAACACTAGTTTCCCTGGTTCACCTATAACATGTCTGATTTGCGAGTCAAACATTTAATGTCACCAACCACAACAATGTCAATTCACCTCAGTCCTGCTCTGCCACAAACATACAACTCGATCACTTATATCAGTGCTTTGCAAACATTGGCTAAACTTGTGAAATAAAATCATCACCACCATCTCCATTTTACAGAGCAGAACACAGAAGTTAAAGCGATTTACCCAGTGCCATACAGGAAGCTTGCAAGAGGGTAGGATTAGAACCTACATCCAACTCCCATGCAAATTTGCTACTGCTATGAGGCAATGTTTCCTTGTTCCTCTATTCCTGGGACCCAAAGCCTCAATGCTACTTGCAGTAATTTTTTTTTTATTTCTGTCCTGGACCTTATCAGTAGATGCTGCAATTATGCCAAAGTGCATGATGGTTTCAAAATATATACAAACTAACACACATAGACCACCTTACCCTTATTTAATTGGCAGCCTAACAACAGATTGAAACATGTGGTTTTGGAGAAGAATGGTCACTGTACCAATAACTGTATCATCATAAGTCTCCCATCCAGTGACTCGCTGAAGCAATTTGGTATTACAAAATGCCATACATCGTAACACATTTTTTGTTATTTGACTGCTTTACTATTTTATTTTTTCTTAAGGGTATTGGCCACAGCCTTTAGTTTTCCAGCATTGCATTAGTATGTAAAGTGGAACCTTCTGCCACTCCTTAAAAGTAGCAAAACAATTCTTTCTTAATGTGTTTAAATATTTTTTGTGTACACACACATATAAATAGGGGGAAAATGCAAGATCTGTGATGCAGCTATAGAGCTAACTTTGGGGGACGACTGTCACTCCACCCTTCATATGTTGATAAACTATGTAATAATACAAATCTGCAAAATTGGAACCAACAATAAAGTGAAAATATGAGCAGCTACAACAACCTCACCTCTTGTATCAGAGAAAGGACATGATAAGATTAAAACCTACGAGCCTGATTCTCTGCTCACTTCAGAAGTAAATCAAAGGATTTACAATAGAACATAAATGAGGGAGATTCAGAGACTGATTTCCAATTACTAGTTTCCTTACCAGTTTACTCATTAAGCTACTTCATCTGAAAGCAGTTAGTCATTTTCTAAATTTATCTTACTTAGCCATTTTTATGCTGGTAGAAGACTAGAACTCCACCTGCTGGTTCTATGTAATGGCCCAATGCAGCTGTGTTTGGATCATGAACACTCCAGGAGAATGTTCAAAAAATACACAACTGTTTATATTTTTTAAAATACATGCAAAGTATTTTTCATATTAAATTGTGTGCCTGTATGTGTGTCCCCACACACAAAACACATTGGCTGTGTCTAGACTGGCAAGATTTTCCCGAAAAACTTTGCAGCTGTCTACACTGGCCACTCGAATTTCCGGAAAAGCACTGACGATCTCATGTAAAGTCATCAGTGCTTTTCCGGAAAAACTATGCTGCTCCTGTTTGGGCAAAAGTCTTTTTCCAAAAGACTTTTGCGCAAAAGGGCCAGTGTAGACAGTATAGTACTGTTTTCCGCAAAAAAGCCCTGATCGTGAAAAAGGCGATTGGGGCTTTTTTGTGGAAAACCGCGTCTAGATTGGCCACGGATGCTTCTCTGCAAAAAGTGCTTTTGCGGAAAAGCATCCCGCCAATCTAGACGTGCTTTTCCGAAAATGCTTTTAATGGAAAACTTTTCCGTTAAAAGCATTTTCAGAAAATCATGCCAGTGTAGACGTAGCGCTTGAGTCTAAATTGTCTGACTATTCCAGTGTTAAGATCAGGTATTTCTAACATGTAAAAGAACACATGAACCACCACTACAACCTTCTAGCTGATTACAGACACTTTGGAATATGCTCCTCAGTACTCTATTACTGTTGCTGAACTACTCAATTAAGCTTTGCTCCAATCATCCCCATTACTATGATATGCACTTGCTCACTATTCAGGCACAGAGTATATAGAAATGATTCACAGAGTCTCCAGGTGAAAGACCTATTCTGCTAACAGCTGTGCACAGAACTACTCAGGTCCCCCCCCCCCATTAGTGTGAGTGCCACAGGTGCCCCATTGGTAGAACGTCCCTTGTCATGATTTCCCCACCCACTCCAAAAGGAAAAACAAACTTCATGAAGAGAAGTAGCCATTAAGGGGGAACTCACCAAATTCATAGACCTTTTTACACTTGGTCTCCAAATCCTCGATGAGATCCTGAAGCCGACACTGCTTGGCCAATCTCTTACAATCATTCACATATTCTACATCAATGTCTAGACGACCTGCCAAAGAGAAACCCAAGTTTCTTTCAGCCTCACATTAGTTACTGACTTAAGTATAAACATGGCTGATCTACGGACAAGGGACTGGAGGTACTGAAGGACTGCTAACAGGCTATGCAGTCTCACCTCTGGATCACTGGTATGAACATCACTCAAGTAGGCAAGTGTCATTACAACAGTGCACATTACTCTGCTGATTGGCTGGACCAAATGTGGTGAATATCAGTTCAGGTCTGCACTCTTCAGTTGCCCACAGTGCAGCTGGACCCTCATTTGGCACTGTCAGCAAAGAGGTCAAAAACTGAGAGGCTCTTGAGACAAAATTTCACTTTCACTGGAAGAACAGAGAGAAGGGGCAGAGCAGTGGTAGCTCGTATTGCTGCTGCCATCCTGTTTTGGCATGAGAAAGGAATTGGGTGTGAAGGGCTGTCAATCCAGCAAATTTCAGAAGCACCGAGTTTACTAAAAAGCCTTTTAGAGAGAGCACTGAGGAAAGCTAACCCTAAGGAGAAAAGCTGTTACTGTTTTCTGGCAAAGAAATTCAGGTGGCTTTTAGTAACATTTCCCTTACAATACATATTGAAAGTTAACTTAGGGCGCCCTCCAATGGTCTGAGGGAATAATGCACTTGCATTCCTTACTACAGAATATTTGGTAAAGGATGGCTGAAGATTTAAGAACTACTTCTGCTGGGAACAACAGTAACAAGTTGTAGTCAAACCATTCAGCAGTCTGACGCAGGGCTGCCTGCTTTGAAATGTTTCTAAATCAGGGTACACAGGGAATAAATCCTCTGCTCAATTTAGGAAATCATCTCCTTAGCTGGCATGTGTATTTTTATTATCCTAGAGAAGGTACATTTCCCACATCTGTGCACTCAACCAAAGTTGATTTTTATTGACTCCCCCGTTACTGGAAGACCCACAAATGGCAAGAGGTATGAATATGCATTTACAACCAGCTTTCAATAACAACACAGAATTGCTCATAGTCCTCATATCTGCCAGATGACAGAGACTGTGTCTAAGCCACGATTATCCTCCCACCCAAACAAGCTTGTCTAGAAGCCATGCCACCCAAACAGTGCCATGGCAAAGAGGTGCTGACTACTGCAATCCACCATACATGCACATGTCAGGCAGCAGCAACATACCTGTATAAAGATACTGCAAGAGGGAGCCAAAGGCTGCTGGGTTGATCTAAAATAAGACACGAAAAGGTCACCTATAAAAAGCGCACACGGTTATCCAAGGACCATGAAACATCAACACAGATATATATGACTTAACTAAACTGATCGTACATTGCAAAATAAGTTAAAGGTCAGGGAGTTATATTCAAGAAAAGGACTCCAAAATACATGGGAAGTAAGTGGGGGTGGCTCCTTTGAGGAAACTTCAGCTAGTGCAATCAGATTATTGTACTTACACACACCATTGCCCTGCTCCCTCACATAACTAGTATTCCCACTCCACCCAGTTTACACGGTTATGTAAATAGATTAACTTTTTGGTTTAACCAACCCTGCCTTATGTTACACACCAGAGAATGAGTAATATTGCAGGGATAGATACAGAAATATGTGCCTACAGAGTTGGCAGGTAACAAAAAGATCACAGTTCACATCTAAGGCGGCAGCTACAGTAGAAGTACTATCACAACAAGTAATCCATCAGTCCCCACATTCGCAGCCCTCCAAGCTAAAGAGGAACCCAAGTTACAGCCTAAAGAGCAACAAGGATGGAAGGTGATGAAAACGAGAGGCGTCCCGAGAAAGAGGAAGGATGTTTGCACCAGGCAGCCGAACCACTGAAACATATGCTGAAGAGTGTTGGTAAATGACAAGCAAAATCCACTTACGGCCTATTGAGTCCTTAGTCTCTCTGCTGAGGCAACAAGTGGGAGACAATTAGTGCCAATTACAGTAGTGATTTCTGTGGTGTGGACCACCTGTCTAGTGGGAATTAGACAAAGGCTCAACTCATTTCACACAAGGATCACCAAACAGCTGGCAGATGGTAACAGCTCTTTTATTCCAGACCTGAACTGAATTTGAACCAATAACAGAAGTGAAATGAGAGGAATCTGACAGCCACAGCTTTTAATATATCAGAGTAAGAAGCCATTTTAGTGCGTTCTAGAACTCTTCTGTGTTATGGAAGGTGTCAACTATTGAAATTAGCCCTGAAACTTCCTTTTCAACTTCATTTTCCATAGACAGAAAATACCTAAGACGTGGGGAGAAAAAACCCTGAAGAGCAGTTCTCCTCACCAGTGGGTGCTTTAATGCTATCATGTTCTTCCCTTTCCACTTGGTCTCAAACATTTCCGCGAAGTACGCGCTGCGGGCACTAAGGATGCAGCGGTGCGCACAGAAGGATTTCCCGTGGACAATGAAGACAATGTCGCTTTGGTAACCCTGTTCCAGAAGCCTGGAAGGGAAAAAACAAAGTTGGTTGCACAGAATGGGGAAAGAGAAAAGTGAAGGAAGAGAGGGCAGAAAAAGGCAACTTGTAAACATCTTGCTCCTTCAGGTGACACTGTCAAGATAAAGAGCGTTGCTGTCTTTTTTCTATATGGCCCTCAATATCACAGAATGTAAGTGATTCACAATATGTAAGGAATTATCCATACAACATCCCCTCCAGGATGTCATTATCCCAATTACAGATGGAAAACTGAGGCACAGAGAGGCAAAGAGGTTGGCAAAGGCCAGATAGGACTCTAATCCATTGTACTGTCCTTGATGTTGTTATGTCACCTAAGTAAAAATGAAAGACTTTAGAAGTGAATGAATTTACTTTTCAGAAATTACAATTTTAACTTTAGCTTCATTTGAAAAATGAACATCAGAGCAAAGCCAGTTTCACCGTGGCTCTAATGAATTAGCTCAACAATTCAACATCTGAGACATTTAAACTTTTCAAAACTACTTACCTGAGAAGATTTGTTTACAAAAACAAGCAATCTGTTTCCCTGTAGCTTTTCCCTGCAGGGTTAAAAAGGGAAACTATTGGGGCAAATTCCCAGTTCCCACTAGGAATCCTTTGTTTCCAGATTTGCAAGTCTATTAAAATCTATTTTAGATCAGTTTTAGACATATTTATGGCTCCTTTGAGCCTTGTGTAACTGGATTCATGGTAACTAAAGTAACATAAGATGACCCATTAAAAGATGTTTGCAAATTCTTTTTATGTTCTGTAAAGAATGCAGCATACAGTGAACATGACAGTGCAGTATGAAGATCTTATCAGCTGTTTGGGATGTGAGATTCACTTGCTGAGTGCTCATTCCCCCCACAAACATGACCACCCTAAGCTTCTGCTGACTAAGCATGTATGGCACAGTTCATTATTATATAGTCCCTAATCTTTTTGTAATTAGAGAAATGGGAGTACAAGTGCACTAGTAAACTTTTAGTGTGTAGCAGAAGGGTCCATGCAGACACTTAGGCCAAGTCTACACTACGTGAGAAAGTCGAGCTAAGATACGCAACTCCAGCTCTAAGAATAGGGTAGCTGAAGACAATGTATCTTAAGTGGAATTTCTAGAGCATCCCCACTGTGGGTGGCTTATGGGGGAAACTCTCCTGTCAACCTCCCTTATTCCTCATGATCCCTTGGAATATCGGGGTCAAAGAGGTACCATCAGCAGTCGATTTAGTGGGTCCTTACTAGATCCATTAAATCAAACCCTGGAAGATTGATCTCCAGAGTGCTGATCTTGGGGTAACTGTAAACCTGGCCTAAGGCTATATCTACACTATGAGCTGGGGGAGGGGTGATGCCCAGCTTGCAAGGATTTACTTTTGCTAGCTCTATTTCTAATTTGCTAGCTCACATGAGAAGTATAGCTGCAGTACCACACACAGGGGTAAGAAGTGGCACTCTGAGTACTAACCCTCCTGATTTTCGCAGCCCAACTGGAGACACCATCAAGGAGACAGATTTTCAGGAAGTGCTTAGCATCTTCTGTCTGAAAATTAAGAGACCGCAAGTTGGGCACCCCCAAAATAAGGCACACGTAATCATTGATCTCTAGTGAAATTTGGCCTTAGTGCCGCAGCAGATTAAGGGCAAAACTTAAATTCATCTGAAATGTCGTTCCTTGGCAATCTGATGAAAACACATTTTGATTTGCCAGCCAAGGGTTCAAAAGTGTACGCTGTAATTGTCACGTTTTTACTATGCCCTTTCAACATTCCACTGGCCCTGCATCTGTGCGTGCATGCAAGCTGAAGGAAGTTCCCAGATGTATGTGGTGAATTATCCATTAAGGTATGTGTCAAACAGGAGCTGCTAAGGGGAGTCTGACGTACCTGAAGAGTGCGGAAAGGGTTAAGCAACTGGAGATGCACCTAGGGAGGGGGTTCAGGCAGTCACCCAACAAGAATGCAGATCGGAATTTCAAATCAGGAAAGAGGGGTTTTTCTTTCTCTCTTCATTTGAAATCAGAGCAGTTTCTCCCAAGTATTGAAGGAGATGGGCTCTCTCTCCAAGAATGGACTTCTTGAAATGTGTAAATAGGGAAAAGTTTAGATAGTCCATCAGGGTTTATTGTTTTCCTTGTTCAGGGGGTTTGAAAATCATATCTGAGCTGGCCAATTGTTTTTCTCCTTTGTCACTAAGGATTACAGCCCAGGGATTTTCCCCGCGTCTATGTCACTTCATAGTTATCTAACACCTAGTCATTTACTATGTTTACAACAATAGTTTTGTTTTGATAATAAAAGAGTTTTTCTTTGTGTTTTGATTAACTGGCATTGGTTGATTGTTGCATCCTGAAGTTTACGTGCCTAGTTACCCAGGCAGAGTCCATTGTTCTGTGCCGATTCCCTCTGTTTTCAAACACCAAGAAAAACAGAAGTTGGGAGTAGGGGAAAGAGCTTTACTTTAGGAAGGAGATTCCCAAGTGATCTCTTCTCTGGAAAAGGGTTTATTTTATATTTTCTTTTAGTCACTTGGGTGTGGCAGCAAGAAAATCAGTCAGTGTCTTTTTGGATCTCAGGGGGACTGAGATTGAACAAGTTTGTCTCTGGGAGTCATAGAGACAGGTTTTACAGAGTTTATTCTACTAGCTGGCCCCCCATCTCTGCACTCGGAGTGACAGGTTGAGGAACTGAGCCATGAGTACGTTTGAAGCTTTGCTTAATTTGACCAGGTATGTGAAAGCGTGTACAGAATGAGGCAGGGCACTGATCACCCTGCAAATAGTTTAACCCTGAATGGCACATTCAAGTAACCTAGCTGACATCCAGTCTGGGATTCTGAAATGTGCTGATGAGCTGCTACATCACTTACCGCTGCAAGAAGACATCGTAATAATCTCTCTTCATGCACTTCGCTGTGATCTGCTTGTATTCCTTCAACACACGTCGGATGGCATCACTCAAAGCCCCATACAAACAACGCTCCCCATCAAAGGTGTTTGCTTCACATTTTGCACCTGCAAAACGGCAATAGGCGTTACATGGCAAGACAGACATAGCACTAGAAGATGGCTCCCTCACTGAATGTCTGTGTCTAGACTGGCAAGTTTTTCCGCAAAAGCAGTTGCTTTTGCGGAAAAACTTGCCGGCTGTCTACACTGGCCGCTTGAATTTCCGCAAGAACACTGACTTCCTACTGTCTGAAATCAGTGCTTCTTGCGGAAATATTATGCTGCTCCCATTTGGGCAAAAGTCCTTTTGCGCAAAGCTTTTGCACAAAAGGGCCAGTGTAGACAGCTCAGATTTGTTTTGCGCAAAAAAGCCCCGATCGCGAAAATAGCGATTGGGGCTTTTTTGCGGAAAAGCGCGTCTAGATTGGCACGGACGCTTTTCCGCAAAAAGTGCTTTTGCGGAAAAGCGTCCGTGCCAATCTAGATGTTCTTTTCTGCATTTGCAGAAAATCATGCCAGTCTAGACGTAGCCAATGAGTCTTATGGCTGACTGTATGATTTACGAGAATCATCCTCACACACAGTACTGGAATTCAATTGCCAAAATTTCATACTCCAAGTCTGACCTCCTACCACTACCACTCCTTCATGAATAAGCCAGGGCATGTATGTTCCTTTAATCTTATCATCTGTGACAGGAGGATCTAGGCCTAAAACCTGGCATAAATCCAACAGCATTCAAGATTAAGAAACTCACTGTACGCATGATGCTATTAGCCACAAGATTCTGAGAACAATTTTCCATTCCAGTCTGATCATTCTAGTAGTCCTCCTCTGTGCCTGTTCCAGTTTATAATCATCTTTCTTAAATACGAGAGACCAGAATTGCATACAGTATTCCAGAGGAAGTATAATGGTACTGTACTAACATTTCCCTATCTCTACCGGAAATACCTTGCCTGATGAATCCTAGGACTACATTAGCCTTTTTTCATGGCCACATCATCCTGAAAGCTCATAGTCATCCACTGATTGACCAATATGCCCAGGTCTTTCTCCTCCTTTGACATTACCAACTGATCAGTTTCCAGCGTATAGCAAAAAATCTTGTTGTTAGTCCCTAAATGCATGACCTGGTACTTTTCATTATTATATTTCATCCCATTTCTATATTCCATTTTATATGGTCATCCAGATCACCATCCAGCCTCCTGCATATTGATAATACCTCCCAACTTTGTGTCATTTGGCAAATTTTCTTCACATGCTCTCACTTCTTGTGCAAAAGTCATTAATAAAAATGCTAAATGCTAAGATTGGTCCTAAGACGAATATCTGAGGAACTCCACTAGTAACCTCCTTCCAGCCTGACAGTTCAACTTCAGAATATTTAGCCATTTCCTTATCCACCTTCTCCAGTTTAAATAATAATTTCCCACATGGACTGTATCAAATGTCCTATGGACATCCAGGTAGATTAAATCTACTGCATTTCCTTTGTCTAAAAAATCAGTTACCTTTTCCAGCAAGGAGATCAGGTTGGTTTAGTACAATCTACTTTTTTAAAACCATGTTGTGTTTTATCCCAATTACCATTCACCTCTAGGTCCTTAATGACTTTCTCTTTAAAATTTGCTCTAAGACTTTGCATACAACTGAGGTCAAACTAACAGGCATATAGTTTCCTGTTTCATCCCCCCCCCTTAAAAAAAAGAGACTATATTAGCAATTCTCTAATCATAGTGTGCAGTCCACAAGTATAAAGATTCACTAAAAATCCTTGCCATCGGGCTTGCAACTTCATGTGCCAGATCCTGATAATCTGGGCCCCCTGATTGAGTCCCATTAAGTTGTTTGAGTTTGACTTCCACCTTGGATGTGGTCATTTCTAACTCCCTATTCTCTCTGTCATTAGCCACCAGGACACTGCCTTTCAGCTCTTCATTAGCGTCATTAAAAAACTAAAACAAACTGTTTAGGTATTGAACCATAGGCAGATAATCTTTAATCTCCACCCCGCCCCATCCTCAATGCTTAGAGATCCCACTTCTTTTCTTATTTCTAGAACCTTTTGCTATTGTTTCAATTCCCTTTGCAAGGTCAAACTCTGCTTGGCTTTAGACAGCTCTCACTTTAGCCTTATACTTGCAGTTTCCCCTGCTTTTGACATTCGCATTTTCAATATCAGAAGCTATGAATGGGACACATCCCACCTATTAAATTAGCTTCATTAATACAGGCCCTATAATTGACATGTTACTACTTTTGCTATTATATATACACCAGTGGTTCCCAACTGCCAAGCCACAATCCAGTGCTGGGCTGCAAACCACTGACTGTGGGACCGTGGCACTCTACTAGGCCACACCCATGCCATGTAGAAACGCACTGTCCCTGCCAAATCCGCTCCTAGGCTGCAAGATAATGCTGAGTCCCGCGGGCTGCCCCACCCCAAACAGCACTGGCTCCTCCGGGCTGCAGGCAGAGCTGTGGCTAGAGCGGAGCCCCTTTGACATCTAACTCCTCACCTGCTTTCCCCCCTCCCCCCACCCACCGGCACGTATGGAAAGAAGTGCTGTGCATGGGGCTGGGATCCAGTGGCGCAGAAGGAAGGTCTCGCTGCCTCCAGGAGCTGCTGTCCATGGGGAGTGGAGGAGGGAACTGCCCTGGGCAGGGCAAAGGGGGGGGGCGCTGGGCACTGGCCAGCAGGGAATAGGAGACAGAGTGGCAGTCAGGAGGAAATTTGCTCGCAGACGTGTTATCACGTCCTCTCCCACCTCCAGCTTCAGGGCGCTGATAGTGATGAGCAGGCCAGGAACGTGGCCTGAGCAGCACTCGCTACCTGCATGGCAGGAGTGGGGGCCGGAGCAGTTTTGCGTGGTAGCTGTTGCACAAGCTGCAGCACCACCCAAGTAGTCAGCATGTCCACTGGGCAGCCAGGGGAAGCAAGGTACCAAGACCTAGGTTCTTTGGGGCTGGCAAGGCCTCTTCTACCCCTGTCCCCCCATGGAAATGCTCACGTGCCTGTGAGCACCCTGGAGAAAGGCTCGCACTAGCCCTTTCAGCAGCTTCCCCGAAGGCTGAGGGAAGCAGTGTTGGGCTGGCTGTGAGGGAAAATGGCCAGACCCAGAGCTGACTCATCCCGACTAGAGCCACGGGAGGAGTTTTGGCAAACACTAAATTTCCTGCCAAAAGCATTGTTCAGGGGGGCGCCCAAACCTGTCACAAATGTTGGAGTGAAACTGGCAAATAGTTTTGGGCGGGAAACACACACACCAATCAACCCTAAAACCAAAACTTTCATTCATGTTAAAATGACTTGGTTTTGCAAGCATTGAAACAAACTATTTTGACATCTCATTTTTGGTCAGGGTCTTCTGTAGATATCTACAAACTCTGATCCATTACAACGACATGTATTGTGTGTGTACAGATGCGATGTAAAACAACATGTGACCTCTTAAAATTAATTACCATAATGAATATGCAAATAAAATGTTACTGGTCCGCCAAAAGCTTATGAATGGGTTTGCCAGTTTTCAGCATAAAGGCTGGGAACCACTGATAGAGACCTTGGATTCTGTTATTTTCACTTCAATTCATCTGATGAAGTGAGTTTTACCCATGAAAGCTCATGATTCTATGTATTTGTTTATCTCTAAGGTGCCACGGGACTACTCATTGTTTTTCAAGTTACAGACTAAGGCCTGGTCTACACTAGACCAGGAAGATCAGCTTAAGGTAGGCAACTTCAGCTACATAAAATGCATAGCCGGAGTAGGCCTACCTTAAGCTAAGCCTTGGCGGCTTCCCTTACTCCTTGCAAAAGGAGGAGTACTGGACACCACAAAGAACTACCCTCAGCATTCGATTTAGAGGGTCGATACTAGACCCGCTAAATCGAACATCAGAAGATTGACCTCCAGAATGTCAATCTTCCAGTAAGTATAGACACGCTGTAACACGGCTACCCCCTAAGACTTTTTAACCTCCAAGGTATAGTTTTCCTTGCTGATCCCTTCCATCCCTTGTAGGCTTTCCGCTTTCTCTTAAATCACCTGTTTGAGATGTTTACTCACCCAGCTTGGTCTGCAACTTTTACCTATGTATTTTTTCCCTTACTTGGGATGTTGGCTTCAGATCACTTCACACGCAACCCCCGCCTCCCCCAAAAAAAGACCATAAAGGAGGAGGAGGAGGAAAAAGCTTGCTCATGTGATTCATTGACTACGGTCCAGTTCTGACATTATAACAGCACCACACTCCCACAAAGTCTACTCTAACTGTAGGCAGCCCTCACTAGAGCCCCTAACTCATCAATTTCATGTGGTGAACTTGCTGCCACCAGGAAAAGAAAAAAAGAACTTTCTCTATAGAAAGCCCAAGAGGTAAGTGATCTATAAAGGGGACATCAGCAAATTCCTACAACAGTCAATTTTTTTTAATTGGGGGTTTGATTATATTATGATGTGGCTCTGCAGGCAACAGTTAAAGGAATGTAGCCTTCTACACACAGCAGCAGCAAATGCTAAATTGAAAGTAAGAAATTGGGCAGATACTTGAAAAGAACAGCATGAGCCCAACACCCTCTTACCACTGGCTAGAAGATAGCGTACAAGCTCCTCATGGCCACAGAGACAAGCATAGTATCTGTTAATTAACAAGAGAAAGAAGTCAGAAATACAAGTGAAACTTTTGTCGTTTTAAGAGTGTATCATGATGCCTCAAGAGGCCTGTTTTCCTCAACAGGGCCCATACTGCACTAAGTTGCCAAACTTAGTTCATTAGTTTATTCCATGTGCACCCTGCAATTCCATGCCCCACTGCCCCAAAAAAACACACACGCACACACACATATACTCCTGCTTCTTCAGCAGACACATTTATTATTGCACACTTAAAATGCTGTATGTCAAAAGTACGGTAAACCCAGGTCCCCAATCTCCTTTTAGGATGGATGTATTTTCCTTTTGACATCTTTCTACAACTCAAGTACTTTATGCTCCTCTTGCACCTTTCACTTGAAGACCTCAAATTACACTATAAATATCAACGAAGCCTATAACACCTCAAAGTAGTAGGTGTTATCCTCATTTTACAGACAGATAAAAATGGCCCTTGGAGAAAAGTCTTATAGAATGAAATACATGAGAAACTTTTTATAGGTGTTTTGACTTATCCAGAAAGCTAATGAAGATACCTTAGCCTCTATGTAGTTCTACTAGTGTTGCAGTCATTTTAGAACCCTATTTATGGTTTGATCCCTACTGAATTCTAGGAGACTTTTCCATCAGGAAAGCAGAGAGAGAAGAAGTGACTTATCCAAGATCACGCAGTAAGTTAGTAAAAGAGCTGAAAATTAACTCCTAAGTCTTGACTCCTAATTCCCAATGGTTAGTAGACTACACATTCCCACTATTTCACCCATGCTTGTCTCCACACCATCTTTCATGCCCTGTCTACAATGCCTCTACTATTCTCCCTGGCACAGTACTGCAAGGAGGCTTGTAAAATCTTCATCCTGCCTTCACAAAATCATCCAAAACAGGACACATGCATAGCCTCACCTCACCTTCATTCTCATTCCATCCCATCTCCTTTCCTTTGACTACATGTTGCCTATTTGGATTGTAAACTTCCAGGGACTCATGTTTATTATAGCAGTGCCTGGAGATCAACTAAGATCATGTGCCTCATGTTCTTCTGGCACTCAAACACCACCACCTCTTTCATCTTTGCTGCTTAATTTTTGAACAGGCCTTCTGAAAGATATTCAGTCTTTAGAATACATTGCAGATGTCTAAAGGCATCAGTGTTTAATGTGCACAGACCTCCTACCAGACTGAGGGAACATAGAATTCTTCACTGCCTGTCTCACACTATTGTGCAGAGTTCCTGTATGCTTCCAAATCAGTCACCACGCCCCACTTCAGAGGCAGAGACAGTAATCCATTGTCTGCTATGGGATTCTTCTGGCACTTCCCTAACATGTCCCATTCAGATTATTATATCCATTACCTCAGTGGCTAGACAAGCATGCACCTGGTTGCACAAAAGGTAGAATATTCAACAGAGGATCCAACCAGACAGGTTTCCTAAAGATTTCATATGTGTAATCGCCCACCTTCCCTCCCCCAAATACCTCACACTGGAGCTCTAGGCTGTAACACTCACAAAGGGGTACTGTCCCATTTATCCCGGACATTTATTTCCACATCTCTCTGTTCAAGAAGATACCTGAAAAAAGAAGAGGAGTCTCTGTTCAAGAAGATACCTGAAAAAAAGAAGAGGAGAAAAAAAAAAAAGAAAAAAAAGTTAAAATTTCTTCTAGATACATGTTGTGTCACATCTGCTCCTCCAGGAGATGTAGCTTTTGGGTCTGTACAGTAATAAATTTTAAAAAGTACCCTGGCATCTTTATCTTCCAACTGTGCAACCATCAGAGAGCTTTTGAAATGACCTCAGTTTAACCACCCACTTGAGGACAGCAGTTGTACCAATGCAATCTGTCTCACTGATACTGCATTGTGGCATCCATGCTGGCTCTGACAGTGGACTCAAGTCCACAGCTTTCAGAGCCAAAGGTGATAAATCACTGACCAAGCCAGACCACTTTAAAAAACCACCTCCAAGTTCTCCTGCAACAGTTGTTGCTGAACAATTGCTCATAACTGACCAAAAACTCTTAAAATGTAACATAGCCAAAAACAGATTTTCTTCCTGATACAGATGTTAAAACAGTTAACTGATTAATCAATAGCACTTAACCAGTTAACCAGTTTAACCTAGGCTCTGCCACCTGGCCGGTCAGCCCCACTGTGGTTAGGATTGCTCTGACCCAGCATGGCTGGCACTGCTAGAGTTAACTGGCAAAGGCTGGTTAACTTGTAAGCATACTAGAAAGCCTCAGGCTTATCAGTAAGCCTACCGGTTAACGTCCCTTCTTCCTGCCCACTTCCAACCTTCTCTTCTACCAAAGACAATGATACCATTCTTCCTGTCACTAGGGGGTTACAATTGACTCCTCTCTCTCTTGCCCCACACATTCAGGTCATATCCAACTCCCCAACACTTATTGCTCTTTGGCATCTCTGAGAGCTGTCCTTTTCCCTCCATTCCCCTCCCCTTCTCCACAGACTTATCTCCTATCTAGTGTTTCATTATAGCCTATCCCAATTACTGCAACATTCTTCTCTCTGGCCTTCCGAACACACACCAAACCTCTTCAGTCCATTCAAGTCATTTTCATCCCCATCATTTTGATCATGTCAGTCCTCTCTTTGATCACTTCCATTTGCTACTGCATCAAAAAGCTGATTCCTCTAACCACCCTGAAAACTCCACATAACTCTGCCCTTCCTATTTAGCCGCTGCTGTGAAGGTTCACATTACCTCCTCACCCCTTCCACTATTCCAGCATTCCCAGCCTGGTCCACTTCTCCTACAATTACCTCCATGCCTTCTTTCGTTCAGCCCTTCTGTCTGGTACAACTTCAAACAACTCATCGGCAAGGCCACACTAGAGTCACAATTTAAGTCTCTCAAAGATCCACTTCTGCTACACTGCTCACAGTAAATTGTGCTAACTTATATCCAAATGGCCTACTCTTGTTCCCCAAACCTCTATTTGCTTGTTTGTCCTTAGACTGTGTGCTCCTCAAAGCAAAGGTCACCCTTCTTGGACCTTTGTAAAGTACCTACGACATCATGGGTGCTCCCATAGCTAAATAAAACTGGAGGACTGAAAAATATGAAACAAAACCATGGCGTCAACTCATAACCAGTGCTGTTACAAACCATAACAAAGTATGAACCTTGAAAATACAGTATCTGGTTTATCATTCTAGTGAGCAAGGAAAGAAAGCATCACAAGAGCTGGTCACAGTACAGACCGCCCCATCTGTTCTCCAACTGAGCCTGGCTCTTACGTTAATGTATCTCTTCTAGTCTTGTCTAAAACTGATCTGATTAAAACAGGACAGGATATTGTACTGTGACTGCATTTACTGCAAATTTAATTGCATTTCATGTGCAAGGGAGCAGATTTACTTTCAGAACTAACGTAACTGACTTTAACTCTGCTTGATACAGAAGTCCCAGACTCTTCTCCATCCCAACTGTTTCTGCTGGGGATTAAAAGTCCTGTTCTCTTTTACAATAATAACTCCTGATTTAACAATAACATGGGTCTACTCATAAGATTAATAAATTATCCATTATTTGTATTACAGCAACACCTAGCGGCCTCAACTGAAAACAGCGCCCTGGTGTGTTAAGCCCTATACATACAACAAGTAGAACACAGTTACAGACCCAAAGAGCTTGCAATCAAAACACACAAGACAAGGGGAAACTGAGTCACAAACAATATAGTGCTTGGCCCAAGGTCTCCTAATTGGTCAATGGCAGAGCTAGGAAAAGAATGTTGGTCTGTTAACTAGTTCCACGTTCCCGACAGACTTGAGCAATTTTCCCTGGGTCAGACTGGCAGAGATGGCATGGGGGGTAGGGGTGTGTGAAAGGCGGAGGGGAGGGGGCTTGGTAGTTGCCTTCCTTTAAGTATGGGCATGAGTCATCTGAAAACAACATGGAAAAGAGCGGTGGAAACCAAGCTGAAAAACCTTGGCCACAGCTAGCGAACCATTAAAAAACATGTTAGAAAAAGACAGGAGTAAAGGATCTTTGCTGCTGCCCTAAACACCAAAGGTGTAATGGGAACATGATGATAATGATGAAATGGTGGGCTCTCTGTAATTTGAAGTTTTTGTATCATGATTTGAGGATTTCAGTAGCTTAGACAGAAGTTCTAGGTCTATTACAGGAGTGAGTGGGTGAAGGTCTATGGCCTGCAATGTGCTGGAGGTCAGACTATAAGATTATGATGGCCTCTTCTTACCTTAGTCTATGAGTCTACCATTCTGAATTTAACATTCCAATGCTTTGCAGAGTTACTAGTACCATCAGCAAAGAAACTATTCACCCCTATCTTTAGATAATATATATTATAATGAGATGGCATGATCGATCATCATAGAGGTATCCTTAACACTTTGTTATACCTTTCCAGCAGGATTGTGACTACTCTCTGAGTACAGTTATCCAGCCAGTTATGCACCCTCCTTACAGTAGCCCCATCTAAGTTGTACTTGCCTAGTTTATTGAAAAGAATATTATCCGAGACCGTTTCAAATGCCTTACTAAAATCTAGGTATACCACATCCACCGCTTCTCCCTTATCCACAAGACTCGTTATCGTATCAAAGAAAGCTATCAGATTGGTTTGACATGATTTATTCTTTAAATCATATCGAAGGGGATTATATTTGCACTGGTATCAAATTATGCTAGAAAGGGACCAGCAGGAAAGAAAAGGAGGGTTACTATAAACAGCTGTGCTAGACTGGTTGTTTGTGAATGATGCATGGTAGGACCAGTTGATGTTTGACCTTTTAAGAAATATATCAAACTAAGCAGAGCCAAATACATTGGGGTAGAAAAACACAGTACACCCAACAACTTGGAAAAAGCATGTTTATACTTTTTTGTGACTTCTCTTTTCATCCATCTCTCTCTTGATGTTCTGACTGCTGTCTAAAGCCATCAGCCGTTTCAGGCCACAATGGGCTAGCTGATATTCACAACTAGACAAACTAAGAATTCTTATAAATACTAGCTCCTGTACTCTCCAGACCACAGACTTAGTCGGGAAGCAACATGGTAATGTTATATTACAAAGTCAGATTGTTAACTTCTAGGCAATAAATGTAGGCAGCCCAATGAAATGAGCATTCAGTGACAGAGGGGAAATGTGATAGAAATGGTCTGCTGCGTAATAGGAAAAAACATCTCTTACAAAATTCCTAGCCCACGTTAGCATCAGGAATATAACAGTGTAGTCGACTAAACGAATAACCGATAAGTGGATGCTTATCCATTAGCGCTATCAACTACATGCAACACATACACCCACACAAGTAAATTTTTTAGCAGGCTGGCAGACAGGCTGGCTCAGTCCAGGCTCAACCCAGCATTAACCCCCATGCTCTCTCTTTGCACTAGAAGCACTCATTTGGTGCCTGAGCCCAAACATCTACAATGCAATTTTATAGCCCCACAGTCCAAGTTCCATGACCTTGAGTCAACTGACCCAGGCCAGCTACAACCCTGCTGGTGGTCTTTTATTGCAGTGTAGACATACTGCAATATGTCTTGCAGGTGTCTTGTCCAAGGTCACACAGTGAGTCAGTATCAGGTTTAGGATAAGTACTCACAAGACCCTCTACCTACCTATCCTCAGACACCAGTACAGGCCTAGGATCTCTGAATCGCTGGATGACCCTGAGCAAGGTATTCAACCTTTCTGCATTTCAGTTCCTGAGCTGTAAAAGCAAAGTGTTCATGCTGACTCCCTCCTGGGATGTGTTGAAGTTAATACACATAAAGCATTTTGTAGGGACAAAGCACTACAGAAATGCCTAGCAACATTATACTGTTACTTCAGCTCAGTCACCTCCTACTCCCACCTCTCTGAACTCCAGCCTATTCCCAGAGGCACAGGGAGTTGATACTTGTGTTAAGGAATGAAGAAACATCACTCAGCAAGGGTGCTGAACCAAACTGGAAACGCTGTATATAATGGAAACCTCTTCAACCAAGGTGGTGCTGCAGCACCCATCCCCCACACGCCTAGTTCCAGCACCTCTGCCTCATGCCCCTGCAGCCTGGCCCCCAAACCCCTGCCCCCTCACAGCCTGGCCCATAGCCCCCGTGTCCCTGCCCCCCTCACAGCCTGGCCCATAGCCCCCGTGTCCCTGCCCCCCTCACAGCCTGGCCCATAGCCCCCGTGTCCCTGCCCCCCTCACAGCCTGGCCCATAGCCCCCGTGTCCCTGCCCCCCTCACAGCCTGGCCCATAGCCCCCGTGTCCCTGCCCCCCTCACAGCCTGGCCCATAGCCCCCGTGTCCCTGCCCCCCTCACAGCCTGGCCCATAGCCCCCGTGTCCCTGCCCCCCTCACAGCCTGGCCCATAGCCCCCGTGTCCCTGCCCCCCTCACAGCCTGGCCCATAGCCCCCGTGTCCCTGCCCCCCTCACAGCCTGGCCCATAGCCCCCGTGTCCCTGCCCCCCTCACAGCCTGGCCCATAGCCCCCGTGTCCCTGCCCCCCTCACAGCCTGGCCCATAGCCCCCGTGTCCCTGCCCCCCTCACAGCCTGGCCCATAGCCCCCGTGTCCCTGCCCCCCTCACAGCCTGGCCCATAGCCCCCGTGTCCCTGCCCCCCTCACAGCCTGGCCCATAGCCCCCGTGTCCCTGCCCCCCTCACAGCCTGGCCCATAGCCCCCGTGTCCCTGCCCCCCTCACAGCCTGGCCCATAGCCCCCGTGTCCCTGCCCCCCTCACAGCCTGGCCCATAGCCCCCGTGTCCCTGCCCCCCTCACAGCCTGGCCCATAGCCCCCGTGTCCCTGCCCCCCTCACAGCCTGGCCCATAGCCCCCGTGTCCCTGCCCCCCTCACAGCCTGGCCCATAGCCCCCGTGTCCCTGCCCCCCTCACAGCCTGGCCCATAGCCCCCGTGTCCCTGCCCCCCTCACAGCCTGGCCCATAGCCCCCGTGTCCCTGCCCCCCTCACAGCCTGGCCCATAGCCCCCGTGTCCCTGCCCCCCTCACAGCCTGGCCCATAGCCCCCGTGTCCCTGCCCCCCTCACAGCCTGGCCCATAGCCCCCGTGTCCCTGCCCCCCTCACAGCCTGGCCCATAGCCCCCGTGTCCCTGCCCCCCTCACAGCCTGGCCCATAGCCCCCGTGTCCCTGCCCCCCTCACAGCCTGGCCCATAGCCCCCGTGTCCCTGCCCCCCTCACAGCCTGGCCCATAGCCCCCGTGTCCCTGCCCCCCTCACAGCCTGGCCCATAGCCCCCGTGTCCCTGCCCCCCTCACAGCCTGGCCCATAGCCCCCGTGTCCCTGCCCCCCTCACAGCCTGGCCCATAGCCCCCGTGTCCCTGCCCCCCTCACAGCCTGGCCCATAGCCCCCGTGTCCCTGCCCCCCTCACAGCCTGGCCCATAGCCCCCGTGTCCCTGCCCCCCTCACAGCCTGGCCCATAGCCCCCGTGTCCCTGCCCCCCTCACAGCCTGGCCCATAGCCCCCGTGTCCCTGCCCCCCTCACAGCCTGGCCCATAGCCCCCGTGTCCCTGCCCCCCTCACAGCCTGGCCCATAGCCCCCGTGTCCCTGCCCCCCTCACAGCCTGGCCCATAGCCCCCGTGTCCCTGCCCCCCTCACAGCCTGGCCCATAGCCCCCGTGTCCCTGCCCCCCTCACAGCTATAGTTTTCTTGCGTGCTGTGCTCCTAACAGTTCTGTAGCTGCAGTCTATCTAATCCCCCGTCCTCCTGCTTCATTCCAAGTTGACCTGTCAATACCTGATCTCTGACGGGCACCATGTTATAACTGTGTCCCTGACTGCAAAGGAGGAACACAATTCAGAGACTCCCACATCCACCAGCACACACAAATGTGTGGGGACCAGGTCAGGCGGCAGCCACATTGTGACTAGGCGCTGTGACTTGAGTATTTTTGTAACAGTGCTAACCAGAAATATCCTGTATCAGAGGGGTAGCCGTGTTAGTCTGAATCTGCAGAAGCGATGAGGAGTCCTGTGGCACCTTATAGACTAACTGAAGTGTAGGAGCATAAGCTTTCGTGGGCAAAGACCCACTTCGTCAGATGCATGCATCTGACGAAGTGGGTCTTTGCCCACGAAAGCTTATGCTCCTACACTTCAGTTAGTCTATAAGGTGCCACAGGACTCCTCGTCGCTTTTGCAGATTCAGACTAACACGGCTACCCCTCTGATAAAAAACTGCATTGTATATCTTTTACTGTACCCGTGTAGTTAAAGCAGTATAACTCACCCTAGTGTGGACAAGTGAATGGATTTAGCTTGTTCCAGTATGGGAAGGGGAATAAATTAGCCCAGGAGTAGGTCTACACTACAGAAATTACTCTTGCATAGCTAGGTTCCCAGAGCTATGTGCCAGAATAATCCTGTAATGTAGACAAAGCCTACAGAGACAAAAGGGGATTTTCCTTCAGAGTGGGAACACCGCCTGCCTAAACTAATGTAACTGCACCAATGAAAGCATTCCTCCATCAATATGGCTGCATCTACACTGGGCTAGGTCAGTATAGTTTCAGCATTTGAGCATTTTTCACACCCCTGAGACTGGTATTGCTATATCAACCTAACTTGTTAAGTGTAGAGTAGGAACTCATTTATATTATGTAACTCTGTCCATGCTAGAGGTTGTACTGATGCAACTATCTTGAGTAAAAAATCATACCCCTATTTGGTAGCTTTTGTGGTATAAAATATGTACCAAGATCAGACCATAGTCACCAGTTTAGCTTTGCAACCTCAGAGCATTTAGGTTGCTGAGCTGGCCAATCTCGATTTTAATTAAAGTATTTTTCTGTTAAGCATAATTGTTGTTTAGTAAATTCCCTTAATGAACATACATTCATAAATAAGGAGCTCCTTCCACTGCATGATACTCACAGAGATTATAGTTCAGTCAGTATATCCATCCCCTGGCCTGTACAGGATCATTCTCTACAGCAGTGGTCACCAACCAGTAGATCTTGGAGCCTCTGACAGGTGATCCTGACTGGTTTGGCCTGGAAGCTCTCAAGCTGTGGCACTTGGGTTGCCCCTTCACCCATTGTCAGCTGTTCCTGCCCTCTACCTTGGAGCTGCTCCCCAGGGAGCCTCCTACTTGTTGTGCAATGTGTGGGAGGGTGAAATGGTGGACGGGGGGGGCACTGACGTCAGGGTGTCCCTCCTCCCCCCACTTCTGTACCCTATCTTCAAACAGAGAGACGGGGATAGAGGGAGCATGGCAATGCAAATCTCTGTTACTCTCACACACTGCATGTGTCTCTGTTTTTCTCACAAACACACATTGCCCTTCACTCTCATTTCCTGACCTAACACATACATGGAGGTAGGGTTGCCAGAAGGTCTCCCAAAGAATACCGGTCACCTATTCTTTGGTCGATTTAAAAAAAAAAAAAAAAAAAAAGGAATGCAGGATAAGCGGCGATCGCAACCCCGCCTCCCAGCTGGGACTCCCAGGCTGGGAGGCAGGGCCACTCTTGGCACATCAGAAGCCTGGCCCCCACCCCTCCATTCTGATGGGCCCAGACTAATGATTTCTGCACAATCACAGGCTTCTAGTGCTGATCGTGGCCCCACCTTCCAAACGCTCCCCACGCCAGGCTTCCGTCCAGTGCGCAGCCAGAAAAATCAGAGAATACCAGATATTGCACATGTCCAGTATTCTCTGATTTTTTTTACCGGACAAAGAGCACAAATACCGGACTGTCCAGTAGAATACCGAACACCTAGCAACCCTACATGGGGGCTACATCTACACTGCAGGCTTTTTGCACAAGATCTGTTTTCCGCAAGAGTTTCTGCGCAAAAATTCTTGCGCAAGAGTGTGTTCACACTGCCATATGCTTTTGCGCAAGAGCATCCATGGCATTTTGGACGCTGTCTTGTGCAAGAAAGCTCTGATGGCCATTTTAGCCACAGGGGTTTCTTGCGCAAGAAACCTCTGTTGCTCATTCACACTGCCTTCTTGCGCAAGAGGGCTTATTCCTCATGGGGAGAAGAATAACTCTTGCGCAAGAAGCCCTCTTTTTTGATGCTTTGCTGTAAATTTGCTTGCAAGAAAGCACATGCAATGTAGACACGCCACAAGTTTTTGCGCAAGAACAAGCGTTCTTGCACAAAAAGCCTGGAGTGTAGACGTAGCTGGGGAGTTGTTGTTACTTCTTTTACTGCTTGTCCCTGCAGCCCCTGAGAGAGGCAGAGCACATGCTGTCCACACGCAGTCCTTGCCTGCAAACATCACTCCTGCAGCTCCCATTGATCAATAACAGGGAACTATGGCCAGTAGATGAGGGGCATCACATGGTGCCAATTGAGCCATTGCTGTACAGGCCAGCTGCTTTCATGAGTGGTGCAAGGCCAGGGCAGGAGTAAGCCTGCCTTAATCCTATTGTTTCACCACCTAGAAGTCGTCTCAGTTAACTGGTGCCCAGCCAGAGTCTGCTTCCTCAACCCCATCCCAACCCTGAACCTCCTCCTACACTCAACCTCCTGCCCCTGACAGGAGTCCCTCTGCACCCAAACTCCTTCCCAAAGCAAGTACCCTGAAACCCCTCCAGAACCCCAATTCCGCACCCTGTACTAAGCCTGGAGCTCTTCCCACACTCCAAACCCCTTGGCCCAAGACCAGAGCCTGCACTCCAACCCCCTACCTCAACCTGGTGAAAGTGAGCAAGGAGAGGGAAATGAAGTGAGCAGGGTGCTGCGGCCTGAGCGAAGGATTGTGCAAGGGACAGGACCTCAAAGAAGGAATGGGAAGGAAGTGGGGGAAAGGCATTTGGGTTTGAGATAGATGCTACATTGCACTTAAATTGAAAAAGTGATCTTGTGGTTAAAAAGGTTGGAGATCACTGCTCTACAGTATACTTTCTCATGCTTTGTCCTGTCCTGTTTTGATGACTCATTCACCTCTTCCCCTGTGAGATGCTGTTCCTGAGTCTGTTAGATCTGTTAGAAACAGGACATGTTTCATGTTGGTCTACATTTTCCTTTGTATATTTTCATT